TTATTGGGAGTTTAGAATGAAGTAAAAGTGATATTATGTTGGTGGTATTGAGGGTTTATCACTAGAACTCCAAATTACTCTCAAACATGCACTCGGGATTTTGAGAACTTTCCTCTTGGCTTTTGTAGTTTGCTCTCGGTTCTCTCTATTTTGGAGGAGTTATGCTCGAATTCTCTCCAACACTTTGCTAAGAACTCTCTCAGTATTAAATGAGGAGTCAAAGGAGCTATGGTGAGGCTTTAAAGAGATTAGTTGGGCGTGAGAAAATATGTGGAAGAGTGGAAACAAATGTGTGACAAAAACTTGTGGTGTCATTTCCTATGCATGTGGGAATCTTGTTCATCTTTTTGCATGATTTTGAGTGCATGAGGAGCACTAAGGGCTGACAACATATCCTGGCCAAGCACTCAAGGCAAAAAGGGGAACATGGTCTTACATGAAGAATAAACAATTCATGCCCATGCTTGATTTGGAGTTTAAGAAGTTAATGAGTGTTTGACTTCTCTAATGAATCTTAAAGCTTAACTAGGCATATTAAATCCTTAATCCTCAGCCTAAACTCACTCCTAAAACCAAAGTTTGATGAAAATATGGTAAGTGATTGTCTAGGGCTCGGTACATCAGCACGAGCGAACGTGCGACTCTGGCGCCCGACTAGGGTTCGACGCGAGAAAATTGAAGATTCAGCTCGAACGAAAGATTTCGAACATATTAACCGAATAATCTAACATATTTACAAGATAATCAAGCTTTTAAACATAAAATTTCACATAACCATGCAATAATAACACTTAATCAAACAACTCAGAAACTGAAAAACTACCGGCTTCACTTTATAGTCGAGCAAGTGAAACCGTTCTGATTTGTTAACTGATCGGGGCGTTACAACCTATCCTCCTTAAAATATTTCCGTCCTCGGAAATACAAAACTAGGGTACTAGGTCAGAACTCCTACTACGAACTATATACAAAAGCATAAGATAAAAGTACACAAGGTACAACTGATACAACTCAAAACTCAAAATCAGGATATCGAGCTCTGATCTCGGCCTCTCTCTCCCAAGTGGCTTCCGACTCATCATGGCGACTCCAACAAACTTTGACGAGCTCTATATCTCTGTTTCTCAGCCGTCGAACCTTTCGGTCCAGAACTGCTACCGGCCGCTCATCATACGTCAGGTTTTGCCCGACCTCTAGCTCGTCAAAGTTCACTACATGGCTCGGGTCGTACACATACTTTCTCAACATCGACACATGGAAAACATTATGTACACCCGAGAGTTTTGGGGGTAACGCCAGACGGTAGGCTGTTACGCCAACTTGTTCGAGAATATCGAATGGCCCTATGAATCGGGGCTGCAGCTTCCCCCTCTTCCCAAAGCGTACAACGCCTTTCATTGGCGAGACCTTCAGAAACACTTTGTCTCCCTGCTCAAACTCAAGCTCCCTTCTACGCTTTTTAGCGTAGGCCTTCTGTCGGCTTTGGGCCTCTCTCAGCTTCGCTCGGATCTCGGCTACCTTTTGCACCGTGTCCTCGATCAATTTGGGACCGAGAACCTGTTTCTCGCCAACTTCATCCCAGTAAAGGGGTGAGCGGCACTTACGACCGTACAAAGCTTCAAATGGTGCCATCTTGATCGACGAGTGATAGCTGTTATTGTAGGCAAACTCCACATTGGGTAACAACTCCTCCCACGAACCACCCCGCTCTAGAACACAAGCTCGAAGTATGTCCTCAAGCGTCTGAATGGTTCGTTCCGACTGACCGTCGGTTTGCGGATGGTAAGCGGAGCTAAACTTCAACTTCGTCCCCATGGACTCGTTAAGACTCTTCCAAAAATGGCCAGTAAATCGAGGATCTCTATCTGATATAATCTCGGCAGGAACGCCATGAAGTCGAACGATTCCCTGGAGATACGTCTCGGCTAGCTGCTCCATGGACATGTCCATCCTAACAGGCATAAAGTGGGCCGACTTCGTCAGTCGATCCATTACTACCCATACCGCGTCGTGACGCTTGGCCGACACCGGTAATCCCGTGACAAAATCCATGGTCAACTTCTCCCACTTCCACTGCGGGATCTCTAAAGGCTGTAAGAGACCCGGTGGAACCTTGTGCTCCGCTTTCACCTGCTGGCAAATCAAGCACTTCTCAACAAACTCGGCGACGTCTCGCTTCATTCCCTTCCACCAAAATGACCCTTTCAAGTCGTGATACATTTTGGTGCTACCGGGGTGTGCCAAGTATGGTGCACTATGCGCCTCCGTCAAGATCTCTTTCTTCAGGGCCTCGACATTCGGCACAACGATCCTTCCTTTGTACTCCAGCGCACCATCTGTGCCTCGATAAAAGCCCTCTACTCCTCCGGCATTAATCTTTGCCCCAATCGAGCGAACGAACTCGTCGAAGGCTTGATCCCTCCGTATCCTATCTCGTAGCGTGGGCCACATTCTCATCGCTCGAATACCTCCCACAACTGGTAACTTAGGAGGTGATTCGACCACTTCTAGCTGCATCTGAGCAAACTCATGAATCAACTTACGCTGTTGAGTGATCATACAAGTCAGTTCACCCTTTCCCTTCCGGCTGAGGGCATCGACAACTACGTTCGCCTTGCCAGGATGATAGTTAATGGTGCAGTCATAATCCTTCACTAGCTCCAACCATCGCCGTTGGCGCATGTTGATCTCCTTCTGCGTGAAGATATACTGTAGGCTCTTGTGGTTTGTGTAAATCTCGCAGTGGCCTCCGTACAGATAATGCCTCCAAATCTTCAGAGCGTGAACCACTGCAGCCAACTCAAGATCGTGAGTCGGATAGTTCATCTCGTGCGGCTTTAGCTGACGGAAAGCATAAGCCACAACCCTGCCGTCTTGCATCAAAACACAGCCTAAACCCTGCTTCGAAGCATCACTATAGATAGTGAAACCCTGTGTGGGGTCCGGAATAGTCAACACGGGTGCCGTCGTAAGCCTCACTTTGAGCTCCTGGAAGCTCGACTCACAACGACTATCCCACTCAAACTTCACCGATTTCCTCGTCAAACAGGACAAGGGTAGGGCAATCTTCGAAAACCCCTCGATGAAACGTCTATAATATCCTGCCAAACCGAGAAAACTCCAAACCTCGGTGGCATTTCTTGGTTTTGACCAGTTTCAAACTTCTTCAATCTTGCTTGGGTCTACCTCAATTCCTCTAGATGTGACGATATGGCCTAGGAAAGCCACTCGATCGAGCCCAAATTCGCACTTTGAGAACTTGGCGTATAACTTCTCACGCCGAAGAGTCTCCAAAATGGTTATCAAGTGCTCCTCATGCTGCTCCGGGCTACTGAAATAGACCAAAATGTCATCAATGAAGACGATGACAAACTGGTCCAAAAATGGATGGAAGACACGGTTCATGAGATCCATGAATACCGCTGGCGCATTGCTTAAACCAAACGGCATCACAACAAACTCATAATGACCGTATCTAGTTCGGAAAGCGGTCTTGGCCACGTCGGCCTCTCTGATTTTTAGCTGATGGTAACCAGAGCGGAGATCGATTTTGGAAAATACACTGGCTCCCCTCAGCTGATTGAATAAATCCTCAATTCTGGGAAGCGGATACTTGTTCTTCACCGTCAACTGGTTGAGATCGCGGTAGTCGATGCACATACGCATAGACCATCCTTCTTCTTAACAAAGAGGACAGGTGCTCCCCAAGGTGAAACACTCGGTCGGATGAAACCGAGACTCAACAGCTCCTGAATCTGAGCCTTTAACTCCTGAAGCTCTTTCGGCGCCATGCGATACGGTGCTTTCGACACGGGACCTGCTCCGGGGACTAAGTCGATTGTGAACTCCACCTGGCGGTTAGGTGGTCCTCCCGGAAGCTGATCGGGAAAAACATCCACAAACTCACGAACAATGGGTATATCTCCGGGAAACAACTTCTCCGAAGATTCCCCAACAATGTTGACAAGAAATCCCTGACAATCCTCTCTCTGCATGTACTTCGTTACTTTCGCCATGGAAATAACGTGCGGTAAGGTTCGAGACATCGTCCCGAAGAACGTGATGTGGTCTCCCTCGGATAAATGTAGCGTCACCTCCCGATCACGACAACGGATGTCTGCTTGGTATTTCACCAACCAATCCATGCCAAGAATTAAATCAAAGTAATTCATATCAATCAAAAACGCGTCTACGACAAGAGCTCGGCCCCCGATATCGATGCTAAGGTTCTTGGCCAGGGAACTCGTAACTATCTTCCTTCCCGATGCGAGACTGATCTCGAGAGGATCAACAGTACTCACTCTCTGGGCCCCTAAGGCAGACAAGCACTTGGCCGAGACGAATGAATGGGTCGCCCCGGTATTAAATAAAGCGAAGACTGGAGTATGGAACAAAGATAACATGCCAGACATGGTACCTGGTTGCCCTGCGGCCTGGTCCTGGTCAAGCGCGTAAATATGGGCGGGTGCTCCACGCTGCTGCTGCTGTCCTGGGGGTCTCTGGGCTGGCTGTCTCGGTGCTGGCTGCCTCTGTGCGGGCTGTCTCTGGGCTGGCTGTCTCTGGCCCTGCTGCGGCTGAGGGCGGTCTGGGCAGTCTCTGCTCAGATGTCCTGGGCGGCGGCAATGGTAACATATGTTCTGCCCAGCTAGGCACTCTCCGCGGTGCTGACGTCCGCAAGTAGCATAGGCCGGCAGATCCTGTCGAGCTGGCTGGCCCACCTGAGCTGGGCCCCTCTGTCCACGGTTCCTCTTATCCTCACGATCGTCCCACTTTCTCTTGTTTTTCTTCTGAGCTGGCTGGGGTGGTGCTGGCTGTCTGGCTGGCGGCTGGTCAATGGCATCCCGCTGGATATACGCCTCAACCTGCTAAGCTCGCTCAACAGTCTCGGCGTACTCAAGGTAACCATGGCTGGCCACCAACAATCGGATGTCATTCCTCAATCCCTCAAGGAACTGGTGGGCCTTCTTTTTCTCTGAGTCTACAAGGTGTGGAGCGAAGACACTCATACGAGCGAATTCACGCTCGTATTCATCCACCGATCGCTGGCCTTGCTTGAGGGCAGAAAACTCCCGTACCATCCTCTGACGGAAATGGCGAGGGTAGAACTTATCCTCCATGAGCGTCTTAAGCTGCGACCATCTCATGGCCTCACGCTCATCCTCGGTGCGGAGACGCCAGTAATCCTCCCACCAATCTCCTGCGGCACCCTCGATCTGCAGTTCGGCACAAGCCATCTTATGCGCCTCAGAAATACCCATAATACGAAAGATCCGCTCCATTTTGCGGATCCACTCGGCCACGACTAGCGGGCCATTCTCCTTGGAGAAATGGGGCGGATCATAGGTGCGAAACCGACTGACCACAACAGCCTGGTCCTGCTCGACTGCGACTTGAGGATCTCTGCGTGGCGGCATTCTGAAGATCCAAAAATACTTGAATTGATCAGTATAGCCAATTAAGAAATAGCCATACTAGACTTGAGATAATAAAATAAACAATAAAGTCCGAAAACACCTAGCTTGGCTAGAGTTTCGGTATACTTAAACTTTCTATGTTCTGGCTCAAAATGGAGTTCTGACTTAGTCTAGAGTCCTTGGACTTAGCTGTTCTAGAGTTCTGTCTAGAGTTCTGCCTCTAGAGTAATCTGTCTTACAGGAGGATAGTTTTCTAGGCACCATACTTAAACTGAATTTAGCACTTGCAAAACTTAAACTGAGTCAGGTGACTTACCTCGGAGTCGGTGCGGGATGAGCGTGGCGTGGTCATGCTTTTCTAACTTTGAAAGTATACAGAAACGCACTCTGCGCTCTGATACCAGCTTCTGTCACACCCCGCCTTACTAGCTTTGAAAATCAGAGTAAAATTTTTGCTTTTATTTTCGAAAGGTCGTGCGAGCTTAGTTTTCGATAATACTAACTGATTGCGGGATGTAACAGATAAAAACTTACTTAACTTGCTCACAGACATATATAACACGCAACCAAACTATCCGCTACGGATAATGGAATTAAACATGCAATGTCTGAACTGTCTCGCACTGTCTAGTCTGCTAGCGGAAGCGTCCGAAATACAGAAATACATGCATACATATCCGAAAATACATGATCATAAATACTAGGACATAAAATGTGCGTAAAAATGTCCAAGACTCTCATGACCACGCTTTGCCACAACTATGCTCACCCGGCACGCTCGACTCCGTCTCCTGAAAAACACAATGGGGGCGTGAAAATCGCTACGAGGGTTAGGTTTTGAAAACTCTTGTTTTATTTTCGGAAATAGAGTTACTTTTTAAAACGTGTACTATTATAGCCTATATGAGCTGAGTTAGATTAAGTGAATGTTTCTTATATGTTTATATAGCTTAAGGAGAGTCGAGCCTCCGACAGCTACTTTAGTTTCAAGCACTTGCAACAGATATTTTCAGTATACCAGGTGGGGGTCATGTACTGGTTCCACATCATATATAATATTGGTACCATGGCAGAGGTATGTTCGAGACAGTTAGTTTCTCCCGGTGGAGGCCGAGGGCCTTAATATCCCATCTGGAGACCCGGTGGAGGCCAAGGGCCTTAATATCCCATCGGGGTGTGCACACGAGCGGCCAAGGGCCGAGGGTCTTTTGACCATAGTAAAGCAAGAAAAGAAAGTTTACAGATTCAGCTCTTATATATTTATGTTCATGATACGATATTATACATGCTGTTTTATTCAGTACTGGTCTTTGCGGAATTACGTTTTCATTTTTAGTAAATGACAAACTTCAGTGCTTGATCAATTTTGTACGAGATTAAGATGTGATAGTACTATATGAACATGATGCATTATGATATGAACATGTTGGATAATGAAATGCATAGGTAGCATAATTAGATGATATGAACATCTATAACATGTTTCCGAATTAAGATCAACATGTTATATTATGAGATGAACATTATATGATGAATATACCTCGTCCACTTCTTTTATCGATGGTCGATGTACTACTTCTCTTGATGGTGTAATGGGATCAAGTATGACCCCCATCCCAAACCCCTGTCCAAGTTCTTCTTCGCTGACCCTTTTGGAAATTGCTTGCATTGTCCAATTAGCTATGACAAGGAATTTCCTGCGCACATATGTCTTGTTCATATACTGCACCCTATCCAGGTAGCACAACTGCAACAAAGGTTCAAAAGAAATGTAAATATCCATCAATCAAATTGATTTATTTAAATATATGCAAACCTTACCACCAAGAAAGTGAGTGGACCATTAAAATGGTCTTCTCCACCAGATAAATCCCATAGCCTCACAGATTCTGAAAGACCTTGCAAAACATACTGGCACCAATTGTAATTTATGATCTCTGCTGGTTTTATCGTTGTAACGCCCCGATCAGTTAACAAATCAGAACGGTTTCACTTGCTCGACTATAAAGTGAAGCCCGTAGTTTTTCAGTTTTCGAGTTGTTTGATTAAGTGTTATTATTGCATGGTTATGTGAAATTTTATGTTTAAAAGCTTGATTATCTTGTATATATGTTAGATTATTCGGTTAATATGTTCGAAATCTTTCGTTCGAGCTGAATCTTCAATTTTCTCGCGTCGAACCCTAGTCGGGCGCCATAGTCGCACGTTCGCTCGTGCTGATGTACCGAGCCCTGACAATCACTTACCATATTTTCATCAAACTTTGGTTTTAGGAGTGAGTTTAGGCTGAGGATTAAGGATTTAATATGCCTAGCTAAGCTTTAAGATTCATTAGAGAAGTCAAACACTCATTAACTTCTTAAACTCCAAATGAAGCATGGGCATGAATTGTTTATTCTTCATGTAAGACCATGTTCCCCTTTTTGCCTTGAGTGCTTGGCCAGGATATGTTGTCAGCCCTTAGTGCTCCTCATGCACTCAAAATCATGCCAAAAGATGAACAAGATTCCCACATGCATAGGAAATGACACCACAAGTTTTTGTCACACATTTGTTTCCACTCTTCCACATATTTTCTCACGCCCAACTAATCTCATTAAAGCCTCACCATAGCTCCTTTGACTCCTCATTTAATACTGAGAGAGTTCTTAGCAAAGTGGTGGAGAGAATTCGAGCATAACTCCTCCAAAATAGAGAGAACCAAGAGCAAACTACAGAAGCCAAGAGGGAAGTTCTCAAAATCCCGAGTGCATGTTTGAGAGTAATTTGGAGTTCTAGTGATAAACCCTCAATACCACCAACATAATATCACTTTTACTTCATTCTAAACTCCCAATAGAAGTGTCTTGAGGCTTCAAGTTCAAGAAAAGTCGAAGAGATTAAGCTCAAAGTCGATAGCAAGAAGAGGAAGACAACATTCGAGTATACCCGACTTCTTTTGCTTTTTCTTGAAGATTAAGAGGTTGGTGTGCTCAAATCTTTCTAGAATTATAATATATATGAGATAAGGAGTAGAATTATATATATATATATATATATATATATATATATATATATATATATGTGCCATACATGTTCAGTTTTTAAGTAGTTATAAGCATGCAAAAAGTTAAAGTTGTCCCAGCTCGCATGAGTGTTTCTTATGTGTTGCTTACTTGCATTTTTGCTATGACATGAAAAACTTGGGAAACTATGATTTATATGGCTGTTTCTTGTGTAAAAGAGGAGTTCATAAGATTAAGAATCAAGTCAATTAGCCTACTATAACTCGGGTTATTGATTTTTAAAGTTAGACATGCAAGTTGAACTTTACATGCACGAATTCAGCTGCAACTTCAAACGCGAATAACTCGAGTTCTACTTAGACTAAAATTATGAAATTTTATGGAAATGTTTATAGATGAGTAAATAGGCTGCATACCAATTTTCATAATTTTATCTTAAGAATTGAGTGAGTTATGAATTTTACAAATAGATGGCGCAAGCAGTTTTTTTGTGAACCGGCAGCATGTTATATTAAATGTAGGACCTTTTTATCATGTCTTAATTTGCTCAAACGCAAAGATGATCTTTATGACAGTTATAGGTCTATCCCTTAGCTTTCTAATAAAGTAGGGTTAATACTTATAGGAGGTCTATAGTGTGAATTAGAGTCAAAATACTGAGGTGTTGTTGTGACATAAATTTGTTTCTGACAGATTTCATGAACCAAATATTTCATGCTTAAAGTCATTGAGAGCATTGTTATTTGCCAATGTGGTCTGAAGAAAAGTTGTAGATATTTGAGTTAGCTTCTATGTGGTTTTTGAATATCACTAAAAGCATGTTTGTAGCTTCATTTATCCTACAATTACTGAAGTCCTGCCAGCTGTATGATTTCAATTGTGGGCTGCAACTCGATTATGAATGTTTGTTGAATTATCGCTTGCCAAATGACCTTATTTGTTTTCAATGTCTTCATAAGAATTGTAGATGCATGTCTTAGGGTTAAAATGCAACTGAAATCATGATTATATGACAAGTGTGTTGTAAGGTATATTTTATACATAAACTCAAATATACTTATCTTTTACCAACATCATCCTCATGAATTGTAACTTACTAAACTTGTCTTAATTGGTATTACTCATAAAACTTATCTTTAAATCATAGCACCAAAACAATTTATGAAATATGCATTCTAAACTTATTAAACTTATCATAAATGCTTAAAATTTATACTTTTATCAACTTACTCATCATGAACATTTCATATTAACTTCTCTTAAAAACTTTAACATGAAATAATCTACTCGAAAGGTTTGGAAATATAATGAACAAAATGGGACCAATGGTAACTGAACTTGGAGAGGTGGTTGAAAGAGTAAAACGCTCAAAGATGAGTGTTGTCAGCATGTTTCAGAAAAAAATTGAAGGATATGCAGCAACTCTAATGAAAATGGCAGACACTGCGGTGGAAGACAATGAGGAAGAGGAACGCGAACCTGCTGAATTCGATGATGATGGGGTGCAATTGGACAATGAACCAACATCATTGGATATTCAGCCGATTGTTGTATACACAGGAGAGGAGGATGAAACGGGCATTGCTGGAGAGGATCATGATGTCGGTAACAGATTCATTTATTTTTTAAACATGATCATCTCCTAATGTAACATGTTTATTTCATCATCTTAAAAATGTTTATCTCATTGTATGACATATTCTTGTGGGTCTGAAATATATTAATTATATTTGTGAAGGAATTAAAACGATTTTGAAAGATATTCAGAATTTATTTGGGGAGGATGATGAGGCACATGGAGAGATGGAAAAGGAAGGGGAAGGTGTAGGAAAGGAAGTGGATAATGTTTCTGAAAATAAGGAACAAGCGGGAGAAGCTGCTGAATTTCATAATGATGTGCAAGTGCAACAAACTGAACAAACTACATTTGATATGCAACCGATTGTTGTATATACAGGGGAGGAGGATGAAACGGGCATTGCTGGAGAGGAACATGATACCGGTAACCGATTCATTAATTTCTTAAACATGATCATCTCCTAATTTAACATGTTCATTTGATCATCTTAAAAATGTTCATCTCATTTTATGACATATTCATTTGGGTCTAAAATATATTCATTCAATTTGTGAAGGAATGCAATCGATTGTCAAAAATATTCATAATGTAATTGAGGAGGATGATGAGGCAGATGTAGATAAGGTAAAGGAAGGGGAAACTGCAGTAAGGGAAGGAGAGAATGGTACTGAAAATAAGGAAAAAGAAGGAGAAGCTCCATTGAAAGAACTAGAGAGATGTGAGAAGACAGGTGAAGGGGAAGCTGTAGGAAAGGAAGTGGATAATGTTACTGAAAATAATGAACAAGAGGGAGAAGCTGCTGAATTTCATGATGATGTGGTGCAACAAGCTGAACAAACTACATTTGATATGCAGCAGATTGTTATATATAGAAGAGAGGAGGATGAAGCGGGCATTGCTGGAGACGAACATGATGCTGGTAACCTATTCATTTATTGCTTAAACATGATCATCTCCTTATTGAACATGTTCATTTCATCAAATCAAAAATTTTCATCTCATTTTATGACATTTTCATTGGGTCTAAATTATATCCATTCTATTAGGAGAAGCTGCCGTGAATGAAGAAGGGCGAGGAAGAAAGACACCTGAAAGCAAGGAACAGGAAGGGGGACCTCCATTGAATGAAGAAGAGAGAGGTGAGGATACAGCTGAAGGAGAAGCTGCATGGAAAGAAGAAGACAAGGGAGAGAATCCACCTCAAACTCCATTAGATAGAAGACTATTCGTTAAAAGGTATATATTATGTTCTACTAAAACATTGAGGTTGCAAATTGACAAATTAACTACTTTTATGAAAATTACAGGATGGTTCTTGGAGAAACTGGTGTCGTAAAAAGCAACTTGGATCCCCCTTTCCTATCAACTCCCTTCTGGAAAGGACATGGTGAAATCAGAGGAAAATGCACTCTTAAGGAAAGGGCAATTTGGACGTTTGTAATGGAAGGAGACGCCGATAAAACAACGTATGTTATTAAAGTCATTTACATTGAATTGTATAGTGTTAATTGTAATTATAAAAGATGTTCATATTATCTATAAAATGTTCATCATATCCAATAACATGTTCATATTTTTTGTGTAACTGTTACAGAGAAGTCTTGTTTCAAACAGACGAAAAATTCCAGATCACAAGAGAAAATTTGAAGTCCTTTGCATCTGAATCGTCTGTTGAAACAGCAATTGTTGATGCCATGGCATTGCACATGAATTTCAGATACTTCAGCACAGAGAGAAACAAGAGGAAATTCTGGTTAACTACTAATGTCATGGTATGGATCCATGACACCGTGAAATGCTAAACACCTCGCATTATCTATTAAACTAAACAATGGACAAACTTTGTAGATGGGATTGTCATTACAACGTTTGACTCAGAGGGATGGGAAACAATATGTGGTGGAAGCAGCTGCAAGGTTGGATTGCGAATTCCGAGACGGAGGGCTAACAAAAAATGGAATAAAAAATCTCAACCATGTGAGTAAATCAAATGAACTTATTAATCTTATTTTATTATATAACTTATTCATCGAACTTATATAACATGTTAATCGTAATTGTCAACATGTTCAATGGATTATGCAACATGTTCTTCTTACTATCTAACATGTTC